ATTTACTTGCCGATCATAATGAAGATGATTTTTGTAAGAGCAGTGGCGCTTAGTTGGATCAATGATTTAAAGATACAGGTGGTTAAGACAGTTAGAAGATGATTAGGGAAATGGTTCAGGTTATTCTGCCAATTGCTGTAATAAGACATACAAAAAGGACAAAAAGAGGCTATAAGACCCTTCTGCTTTGTTACATGTGAGATTTGCAGAGCATGGAAAATAAGAACAAGGAAGTCTCATGCATTATAGACCCATGAATTCTGCCTGTGGATAAACAGGCTGGTGGTCAAAGAGGACAATGATGTCCCTACACCCAGGGTGAGGCCTGAGGTCCTTGGTCACGTAGCTTACAGAATTCATCACAGGTTTCTGTATGCATCTTGAAAAAATAAAGTTGTGAAAGGAAATTAAATTACCCTATCATGTGTAAAGAAAAATCGATGATTAAGTGGAGCACTTGTTTAAAGTTTTGTAGGAATCTGCTACACTGAAATCACAACTAGCTATTTGTTAGTACAAAGGAACTGACTGAAATATATTTGGCTTGCTAAGAACTTTGTTAATAATGAAGGAATGATTGCTCTGGGATAAAGATGGTATGGTGGTGTGGAAAAATTAATACAAAGAAAAATGTTTAACTACTTGTGGGCTTCTAAGAAAACCATGTACCTCATGTTGTAATTTCCTCTCGTGTAAAGATTTTAATTTGTTTTGGAAAACATGTAACTTGTGGTTTTGAGGTAATCTTTCCTTGCATAGAAACTTTAGTCTTAGGTGGTATAAAAGGGATAAGAGAAAAATAAAGAGGCAGAAGAAGAAAGAGGGAAAAAATGCACAATTAAGCTTTGCCCCCTCAGCTAGGCCTCCTGTGTGTATGTTTAGTAGCCGCTGACTCCACTTCTCTCCATTTCTCAGAAGTGGAAGAAGAAGCTGCTTCTTCATTAGTCCATAGTAAACCAGGAGACTCGTCGGCCTCCATAATCACGGGAGCATAAGAAGTCCTGCTCAAGAGAGCCCAGTCTAATTCATTCCCACTGTTCCTTCCGTCTTCCTCCCTCCCACCTCTCTCTCCCTGCTGCCTCGCTCCTGCTCTCCCCTCTTCCTTCCTCTTTCTCCTTCTGTCTCTGTCTCTGACTCTCCGTCTCTGTCTGTGTCTCTGTGTGTGTGTGTGTGTGTGTGTGTGTCTGTCTGTCTGTCTGTCTTTCATCGGCTCTGTTTCTAAACACTTTTCTTGATTGTTTGTGTTATTCCTGTGCCAGTACCATGGCATTTGGTTCTTGAAGCTTTATAGTTTCGTGAATCTAACCACTTCTTTGTTCTTTTAGACATCTCCCTGGCTATTTATGCATATCTGTTTTGACTCAAATTGATGTCTAGGGGGCTGGACAGATGGCTCAGTGGTTAGGGGTGCTTGCTATTATTACAGAAGATCAGAGTTTGGTTCCCAGCACACATACTGAGCAACTCAGCCTCTAATTCAGGTTTAAGTGGATCTGACACCATTTTTCTGGCTTCTGTGTGAGTGCGCACATACACACAATTTAAAACAATAAAATGAGGCTGAAGAGATGGTTTGGTGGTTAAGATCACTTGCTGCTCTTGTAGAGAACCTGAATTCAGTTTCCAGCACCCACATGGAGGCTCACAACCATCCATAACTCTGGTCTCCTTGGGAACTAGTCACATACACATGTAGACAAATACATACATATATATATATATATATATATATATATATATATATATATATATATATATATATATATATATATATATATAATAAAATTTTTAAAAATAAAACCTTTTAAAAGTAATGTATCCACTTTAAATCCTATTGGCATATTTACTGGAGCTACATTAAATTATGGGGACTAAACAATTCATGGAAAATATAACAATTTAAGGAAAACTGACATATCTTCCTGGTCAGTAATAAAGTATGAAATTAATTAAGTCTTCTTTGGTATCCTGGAAGATTTTTAAGTTTTATTGTTGGCATACCTTGTTCAAACTACTCAAATGTATTTTACAGTTTTATTCTGATCATATCTATATCCTTCTTTTATTATATCTTTGTATCATAATGTCTTTTAACTGGCATATATTTGATATATATTTTTATGTCTATACATTAACATTATATCTCACCAACTGCTAAATTACTTTTGTGTGTGTGTTTTTAACCTGGTTTCCTCACTTGGTTTTATGTTTTGATCTGATTATATGGGCTATTTCTACAACATGTCTTGCTTTTGTGTTTGAGACAGGGTCTCACAAGTGTTGGGTTAAAGGCATGTGCCAACACACCCAGCTCCATAATGTATTTTTTAAGAGAGAGGAGCAGTCTTAGTATATTGCTCAGCCCAGTTTTGAACAGCCAGGCTCAAGTAATCCTTTTGCCTCAGACTCCTGAGGAGCTAGAACTGAAGGCATGCACACCACATAAATAACCCTAGAATATAATTTAATATAACATTTAATATGGTAACAGTTACTTCCAGTGGGCATGGTGGCGTGTACCTGTAATCCCAGAATTTGGGAGGCAGAGGTGGGGAGATCAAGAGTTCAAAGTCATCTTTAGCGACATAGTGAATTGGAGGCCAGAGTAGGCTACATGAGACAAAAAAAATTACTTTCATATTAAACACAATTATTGGTATTCTGTATCCATGGGTTCCACATAAATATTAGAAAAATACTATTGGTACTCAGGAGGCAGAAGCAGGAGGATAATTGTAATTTCTTTTTTATGAGAAATATTGATTCTCTATTTTTTAGAAATATTGATTTTCAAGTTTTTTTTTAATTTTTATTTAATTAACAGTTTTTCATTTATTTTTACATACTGACCATAGTTTCCCCTCCCTTCTCTCCTCTTATTCTCTCCCCCTAACTCCCATCTACTCCTCTCCCCATCCATTCCTCCTCTGTCTCTATTCAGAAATGGGCAGGCCTCCCATGGGCTTGAACAAAGCATGGTACATCAAGTTGAGGTAGGACCAAGCTCCTCCTCCTGCATAAAGGCTGAGCAAGGTAATCCAGCATTGTAATTTCAAGGCCAGCTTGCTCTACACAGTGCATTCTAGGCCAGCCAGGAAATTGCTTCTATTGAGCATGCACAGATATTTTTATTGTCATTATTCCCTAATCAATATAGTAGGAAAAATATTTACATTGTATGGCAATATAATCTTTAAAAATAATATACAGGTGATTTAAAGTATATTGGAAGATGTGTGTAGGATGTATGCAAATGTTAAAAACTTAAGCAATTCCATATAAGGGACTTGAGCATTGGCGTGTTTTGTATATTTGCCTCTTAAGAATCTATGGAAATGAGAGCCGGGGATATGACTCAGCAGTAGACTGCTTGCTCAGCATGCACTAGGTCTTAGGTTCAATTCTCAATACCATGTTTAAAAAAAAGTATCTTTCTGGGCGGTGGTAGTGCATGCCTTTAATCCCAGTACCCAGGAGGCAAAGGCAGGCAGATCAGAAGTTCAAGGCCAGCCGGTCTACAAAGGATGTTTGGGACAGCCAGGATTAAACAGAGAAACCCTGTCTCAAAAAAAAAAAAAAAAAAAAGAAGAAGAAGAAAAAAAATTCTGGAAATGTCAATATTTTTTCCTAGGTAGAGTCACTGATACCATGAATTGTGTTTCTATAATAATAAACAACCATCCAGGGCTGGGGAAGTGGCTTAGCAGTTAAGAGTGTTTGGGACTTGTCCTCTGGACCTACATTGGTTGGCTCACAACAAACTGTGACTCCAGCTCCAGAGGATCAGACATTCCTTGCAAGTACCCCACCCAAGTGGCATACACTCCACAGACACATGTGGATATAGAAATGAAATAAAAATGAACAGTGCCAAGCATCCCTCTGCTTCTGATACACTGCTGGCTTCTGTTTCTAATACTTTGTTGGACCTCTTTTCCTTTTCTATCAGCCTAAAGTTCACTTTGGTAGGGCCATCGTTGGTGGTGTCAGTTATATTGGCTTCAAAAAAAGTCTGGGAGAGTTTGTTTGTTTCTTGTGAAAATGCTTTGTAATCAATATACATCCCACATAGCAAATATGAGAAAATATTGGAAATTATCTGTTTGCAGTGTGAGTGTGTGTGTGTGTGTGTGTGTGTGTGTGTGTGTGTGTGTGTGTGTGTGTAGGGAGGGGTTACTGGGGACTGAACCCGGGACTAAGCAATATCCCAAGCCCATGAGCAAATATTATTGCATTTTAGTTGTAAACTAAACAAGACTTTGTGTATAGGTATAGTAATTATCAGTTCAACTGACTTTCTAAGCAAATAATAGACCATAGGTTTGAATAATATTAAATTTTCTTCATAGTCATTGTTAGAGTCTCTTTATCCTCAGCTACTATTGCAAAACTCCCTTAAGAATTATAAATACTCTGGGCATTTCCAGATTTCACTCTTCCCTTCACCTGGGTCTTGATTTTAACTAGAGATGCACAGTTACAGAGGAAGCACACAATTCCTAAGCAAATATAGAAGCAAATAGCTTATATCCTTCTATGCTTTAAGAGTTTTTCCCAGTTAAGGCTAGGGATATAGTAGCAAATGATTGCCTAGTGTATGCAAGGCCCTAAAGTCAATCCCTACCACCACAAAACAATAAAACAAGCACAAAAAATAGTTCATTTAAAGTTCCAGGCTAGGGACTGGAGAGATGGCTCAGTGGTTAATAGCACTGGCTGCTCTTCCAGAGGACCTGGGTTCATTTCTCAGCATGCACATGGAAGATTACAGCTGTCTGTTACTTCAGTTCCAGGGGATCTGATACCTTCACACCAATGCACATAAAATAAAGTTAAACAAATTATTTTTTTTTAAAGTTCCAGGCCAGGCTAGGTTACACGAGACCCTACTTCTCCCAAAACAAACAAGCAAGCAAACAAGCAAAACTAATGCCAAGATTTGAGCCCAGCTTGAACAGGCAGACTAGCGTTTCCTTGGATGGAAAATGTGTAAGGAATACCTGATCACGATCAACCTCTACTGGCTGCTTCTTAATGATCCAGGTAACGGACTCTGAGAGGGGTGGTGTAGTGAGAGACCCGGAGTAGGTCCAATAGTCTGGGCAAGTAGGCATCAGGCAGGAAGGGTCAAAAGATCCAAATTCCACCAGGGTGTCCTGTCCAAGAGAAAGAGTTACTGAGTTGTTATTATTCATTGGTGAAAGTCATTCAGGTATCAGAGGGTGAGGCAGTGATTCTAATGGAGTGTCCGGGGATCAACAGTGGTCCAGGGGAGGTCCAGGGACTCTGAGTAGCTTCTGAAACAGTCATCACTACTTAACACAAAATCACACCGTGTATTTCTGATAGTTCTCCCTGGGAGAACAGCCAAAACGTTTTCTCCTTCAATTTTGTTGGGAGGTATTAGGTAGTGGCGGCTCATAAACAGACAGGCTTCTCTTCTTTGAGAGAAACTAAAGCCCGATTGTCCTTTCAAACTAGCACAGAACTGAGGGTGTAGCACAGTGGTAGACAGCTAGACAGCTAGACAGGTAGACCTAGCATGCTCAAGGCCCTGAGTTCCATCCCTGGCACCGCAGTGAAGGAGAAAGGGGAGAAGCGGGGACGGGGGGGAGCGGGGGAGGAAGGAAGGAAAGAAAGGAGGAAGGAACGGGGTGCCAGAATCCTGGACTAAGGAGAAAGAGAAAAAAGAGGGAGACAGGAAATGAAGGAGGGAGGGGGACAGGAAGACAAGAAAACAGAAGAATGGTGCACTAATTTTCGGGAAGCAGCCCTCACGGGATTCTGAATTTTGAGGACTTCATCGTGACAGTTGGACAGAGGACACGGAGTTCTTCACTTCTAGACAAGTTAAGTTTTTGGAAAACTCTTCTCCCTCCCTACTCGTGGGAGGTAGCTGGAGAGAAGGCTGTTCTGCGTGTTTCTACAAAGATGGAGAAGGAGCTGTCAGGAGCAGAGTAAATTCCCGAGCAGCACATACATACTCAGCAAAACCAGAAAACTGCACCAAGGCAACCTCTCCTGTGCCCTGCAGTGTTTAACCTCCTCTGTGCCTGCTCTCCTCCTGCAGCAGTGTTGAAAGAGACCTGGATGCAGTTCACTGAATTTGTCTTCCTGCTTCAAAGTGCATTATCGACTCCGAGAGGCAAATATGAAATACGCTTCAAGTGATGTAAGGGGGGAGATTACCTTGTGCTTAATTGATGGCAAAGTGTCCACCAGTTTCTGTAGTTCTTTATGATGTTTACCTAGCTAAATAAAAAGAAGAAATATTACACACAATGGCCATCTCACTGCAGAAACTCAAATAGAATGTGAATCAAAATTAACCACCTGGTGGTTACATATAAACAAACCACAGGACTGCAACTATATTCCAGCTGGTAATTACAACTATTATAAACACCACTAAATTAAATTAGACTTAGAACAAAATGAACAGGCTGTTTGCTGGCAAGACCATAGCGTCTACAGAGAAAGGTGCCTCCTGCTCCAATTAAATATCATTTCTTACACTGAATTTTAAATTGATGAAATTATAAATTACCCTGGATTTTACTAATCCCCTCCCCCAAGGCAGGGTTTTACCATGTAGCTTGGGCTGGTCTCAAAGTCTTGATCCTCTTGCCTCAGCTTCCCAAACTAAGCATATTTCAAGTGTTCACTTGCCCCAGATGGCTTGTGTCTACTTTATTTGGCTGTGTATTTTTTAAGACTTATTTTATTTTTTATTTTTATGTATGTATATGTGTCTAAGGAGGGATATGTGCATGTGTGGGCAGATGCCCATGGAGTACAGAAGAGGGTGTTGAAGCCAATGAGGCTGGAGTTACAGGCAGTTGTGAGTAGCCTGATGTGCATACTGGGAACTGAGGATCAGTCTTCTACAAGATCAGCAGGCACTCTAGACCGCCAAGCCATTGCCCTAGCCCCTGGACTACACTTTTATACCATTTGAAATATATTCATAATAGTTATTGATTTTAACCACTGTTTATTTTTACCATCTATATGTAAAACATATATTTTTAGACAGTCTCACTGTGTAGTCCTGGCTGGCCTCAAACCCACAGAGATCCACTTGCCTGTACCTCCTGAGTACTAGAATTAAAGGTGTGCCACCACACTTGGCCTGGTATTAATATTCTTTGTAAAATATTAATTGTACAGAATAATGAATTTTCTTGTGATATTTCCATACACTTATATCATACACTTTAATAATATTAATTCTCCATTCCTCTCCCTCCTCTTTCCCTCTCCTATTGATCCCAACATTCTTTTTTTCCCTTTTTTGGTTTTTCTCTGTGTAGCCCTGGCTGTTCTGGAATTCACTCTGTAGAGCAGGCTGGTCTCAAGCTCAGAGATCCACCTGCCTCTGCCTCCTGAGTGCTGGGCTTAAAGGCGTGTGCCACCACTGCCCTGCACTGACTCAATGTTCTTTCTTTTTGAAGATTCATTTTTATTAGGTTTAAGTGTGTGTGTGTGTGTGTGTGTGTGTGTGCATGCGCACGCACGCGCACATACATGAGCATAGGAAGGGTTAATGTGCATTTGAGTGAAGGCATTCAAAACCCCTAGAGCTGGACTTACAGGCAATCAAAAGTTGGTGGATGTGGGTGCTGGGAACTGAACTTGGATCCTCTGCATGAGTAATACATGTTCTTAACCATTAAGCCATCTCTATAGATCTTTTTTTCCTTTTAATTCTAAATTTTCTTCAAATAAGTAACTTATATTGTAATGTTCTATCTTTTCAGTGTAAGATACAATATATCATTTGAACTTGGTGAGATGGTTAGTTTGTTTGCTTGCTTGAGACAGAGTCTCTCTCTATAGGCCTGGCTGTCCTGGAACTCATCATGTAGGCCAAGTTGGCCTGGAACTCAGAGTTCTGCCTGCCTCTGCCTCCCAAGAGCTGAGATTAAAGGTGTGCCACCGTGCCCAGCCTGAGTTTTTGTTTTTACCTTTAAAAATACACCTATCACAGCCAAACCATTTTCTTCCAGTGCTGCATCTTCAAAGCTTTCAAATTTGACTGCATTCCAATGTACCAAGTGCAGCTGAAACAACAGAGACAGTGGGGTTTCTACATGACCATGTGGGATTGCACCAAAATAAACTGACAGCCCCACCCAACATGTAACATTTAACCTTGTTTCATCACTCCAAATAGAGCCACTGAGAAAAGTATATGGCACTCTGGTGCACACTGAGACAGACATAAAGAATGGGAAGAAGACATTGTGGCAAGAACAGCAATATTACTTTGAAAGAGAGGGATTTGTTAGGGGAGAAAAAATAAAATTCACATGGTAAAGTAACTTCGCAATGATGGATCAACATTTTCTTCATTCCTATCCTGATTTGCATGAAATACTAATATCCCAAATCCATTTGCATCTAAAGGAGAGAAGATGTTTATATTAAGAGAAATTCATTCTCCCTATGAAAATTAGATGGGAGCTAAAGACAAATTTCTTCTTGGAGGGATGATCACTTAAAATGTTTTCATTTTTAGCATCACATTTAAAACTAAATTAAGGGAAAAGTTGCAAGATGAAATTCTATTTGCAAAGAGAAATTCGATTTCCTTGGGCTCTGCTTGCATTTCCATCTCCATCATTCTTCAGCCATCATTCTCAAACCTGCATTACCATCACCTACCTTCCCCAGTGAGCCACTTCCCAGTTAGCTTCCCCCTCGGAGCCCAACTGCAAGCTCTGGTGCTTTGGCACTCTGATTTCAGAAGCCTTTGATACTTTTCCCATTTCTCTCTCTCTCTTTTGCCGCAGCCTCACTTGAACTCCCACCATTTCCCACTTGGTTAACGAAGTCTTACAGCTCTACAGTAGTTTGAGATTACTGAGTAGATGAGTGTTTGGCATGCATGTATATCTGTATATCATGTATGTGCCCGGTGCCTGCTGAGGCCAGAAAGGGCATCAGATCCCCTGGAACTGGAGTAATAAATGGTTGTGGCACCATGTGAGTGTGGAGAACTGAACCCAGGTCCTTTTGCAAGAGCAACAAGTGCTCTTAACCATTAACCTATCTCTCCAGCCCCAGAATTCTGTTTTATCCTCTTAAGGTTTATTTCATGTATACTCTTCAGAATGGATATATTCTACATGTAGAAGATGGGAAGGCTTAAGTATGTCCCGTGCCAGCTAAATAGGACTTAAAGCACCATCTGAGACATCTTGGTAATTTCTTTGAACTAGAAACCTCGGAATTATCCCCACTGTTCCAGACCCATTACTCTTTGGGACCTTTTTAACATACTTCTGTTGTTCAAGCCAGGTATGAATATCTTTAATCCCAGCACTTGGGAGGCAGAGGCAGGAGGAATTCTGTGAGTTCAAAGCCAGCCTGGTCTACAGAGTGACCTCCAGGACAGCCAAGGCTACAGGAATTAAAAATAAAAGAAGGAAAGGAAAGGAAACATACCTCCGCTGGGTAGCATTTGCTGTCCACAGTGTGCTCGGAACCCCAGGCATCAATGGCCCCCCAGTGAAAATGAAACTGCTTCAGTCGGTAGTTGTGTTCCAGGGGCCCTCCCTCAATCACTGAAATGACACATCCAGCAATTCAGAGAACGTGGGGAAAAGGTGGACCCCGTCCTTGAATCATTCGGAGTATATGATGTCACATACAAGTATTTATAAAACTGATTTCCACGAAGTAAACGCATGCATAAAGATTCAGCCAAATAATATCAAGACTGAATCACATACCAAGCAACATACAGATGTTAAAGGCTATATCTCAGCTTAATTAATTAATTAATTCGACAAGTTTTCATGTATCCCAGGCTAGCCTCAAATTCTCTATATAGCCAAGGATGACCTTGAACCTGATCTTACTTTCACCTCCTGAATGCTGGGATTACAGATTGACTTGTTTTTGCATCTGTAGTTATTGGGCCTAGTTTCCATTGCGTGAAATAAAATGCAAATTTCTCTTGGTGTATTTATCCCATTCAATCAGATAAAGCCAAACTATGCAGACAAAAGATATTATAAAAAAGTTTTTATAAATTCATTTAGGCCAGCCTTCCCTCAAACTAAGAATTACCCTGTCTTAGCCTCCTAAGAGCTGGCTTTAAAGGTGTGTTTTACCACGTTCATTCTCCTTCTTGGAATAAAATGTTAATACATTTATTTGTGTGTGTGTGTGTGTGTGTGTGTGTGTGTGTGTGTGTGTGTGTGTGTGTCCGTGTCCCAGGTACCATCAGGCTTGGCAGTAAGCATCTTTATCTGCTGAGCCATCTCACCAGCCCCCATCCTTTTTCTTTATCTATACACTAACACCTTCCTTTTCAACTTTGGGGGTTTTGTTTTGAGACAAGGTTTCATTATGTTACCCTGGATGGCCTGGAACTTGCTGTGTTGACCATGCTGGCCTCACAGAGATATTCACCTTCCTCTACCTTTGGAGTGCTGGGATTAAAGGTGTGAACTGCCATGCCTGGCTCTTTGCAACTTTGGGGTTCTTTTTGTTTGATTGGTTTGGGTTTGGCTTTTTTCAATGTTAAAAAAAATGTTTTATGTGTATGGGTGTTTTGCCTACATGTTTTTGTCTGTGGCTCACATGCATGCCTGGTGCTTATGGAGGCCAGAAGAGGGCATCAGAGCCCTTAAAAGTGGAGTTACAGATGGTTGTGGGCCATCATATAGATATGAGGAATCAAACTCAGGTCCTCTGGAAGAGCAGTCAGTGCTCTCAACTGCTGAACTATGTCTCCAGATCCCTCTTGTCAACTCTTGAACATACTAGTGTTTCTTTCACTTTTGTTGAAATGGAATAGAACATTTGCAAAACAAAAATTATCACCAGGAAGATATGGCCCAAGAGCACATGGTTTCCAATAAATAGACTAGCATTTTCAAGATCTATTGCACAGCATGGTGGCCATAGTGAATAGAAGCATCGATTCCAAGTGTTCTACAAGAGTAGATTTTAAATGTTCTCACTATAAATAAATGGTATGTGAGGTGATGGATAAGTTAATTAGCTTGATATCATCATTCAACAATACGTACATATACAAAAATATATACTGCATTCCATCAATATATACAGTTGTCAGTAAATAAGAAACACAACAGTTATTACCCAGTTCCCTTTAGACAGAATAAGCAATGTGAACCATCACACAGTTTACCACTGGCATTAGTGATGAATAACAAATACTTTTTGTTTAAACTATTTTTTGAACACCAATGAAATCAGTACAGTATAAGAATATTTAGCCAGGTGGTGGTGGCACACACCTTTAACCCCAGCACTTGGGAGGCAGAAGCAGGCGAATATCTATGAGTTAGAGGCCAGTCTGGTCTACACAGTGAGTTCCAGGACAGCTAGGGCTACATAGAGAACCCCTGTCTCCGTGTAAAACTAAAACAACAACAACAAAAAAGAATGTTCAGGAAAAATAACTTTTAGAAGCAGTCCTGTGGGCTGCTCATGCTTTTAATCCCAGTACTCTGGAAGCTGAGGCAGGCAGATCTCTATGAGTATGAGGCCAGCCTGGTCTAGATAGCATGCTTCAGGTCAGTCAAGTCTACATGGTACAACCTGGTCACATGAGGGGAAAAAAGTCACTCTGCAATCCACTTTGAGCTGTGCTGATCCCCACCCCCAACTCTGCTAAAGCATATCAGCTCCTTATTTCTTCTGTCTCATTAGACTCTAGACTCTAGCAACATCTGTACATGGTCAAACCAACCCGGCAGCACTACAAGCACCCATCTCGTGCATCTTAATGATCTTCAGAGTTTACTATGTCATCAGTTGCAACTTACGTGCACAAATGATGGAGTCTGGAAACCCCAAGGACCAAACACACTGATGTATCAGGCAGTGGTCCGCTCTGTATCTTACTGGCCTCTAAAGTTTTCTCACATAATTTCTTCTTTAAATAATGGTTTTGCCAGGCATGGTGGCACAAGCCTTCAATCCAAGCACTCAGGAGGCAGAGACAGGTGGATCTCTATGAGTCTGCATAGTAAAACCTTGTCTGAAAAAATGTGGGAAGTGGGGCATGACATTTTCATTAAAGTCACCAAGGTTGATTTTTTTTCCTTTGGAGGGCAGGGGTGATATAGAGTTAATGGCCCAAATCATTATTTTAATAGGAACACAATACTACAATGAACTGAAATAAAAATGTTCCCTTTCCCTAAAAAAAAAAAAAATACTTTTTTTTGAAATAGGGTTTCATGTAGTAGAGGCTGGCTTTGGATTCACTGTGTAGCAGAGGATGGTCTTGAACTTCTGATCCTCCTGTCTCCACCTCCCAAGTGGTGAGATTACCCATGTGTGCCACGGGTCTTTTTTTTTTTTTTTTTTTTTTGTGGTCCTGATGCTTGCTTGACTTTGTGCATGCTAGGCAAGCATTCTACCAAGTGAGCCACATGCCCAGCTCCATTTTTCTAAAGCTCTAAATTGTGAACATGCTTTTGCCAAATATTTTATCTAATCTTCTGAATAAAATTGAAGTTCTAATCCCAAGTAAAGTGACACAGAGAAAGGGGCCAGTTTTTCTTTTCTTTCCCTAGGACAACACTGGAAATACACCCTGGCCCTTGACTGCATGTTTCCTCCAATGATAATGAGCAAAGCAGAGAGACGTCACCACCAAAGTGGTTGTGAGGGAAATGAGAGGCAGCATTGGTCTCAGTATGTTTCAATTCTCCACATAGCATCGGTTCACACCACATTAAATACATTTTTAAATTCACGTGCCCAGATTTAAAGCTGGAAAATTTCAGAGCTAGGACAATAACTCAGTGGTTAAACAACTTGTGCCCAAGTGTGAGGACTAGGGTTTGAATCCCCAGGACCCACATCAAATGTGAGGTGGGTGGGTGGGTGAGGTGCTCCATCTGTAATTCCAGCCCAGGAAGCAGGGACTGGAGATAGCCAGAATAAGCTAGCTAGCAAGACTAGCATCAGTAGTAGGCTCTGGTTTGGACTGGCAGACCAATCAATAGGGAGGAAGAGAGGTTGAAACCAACCTCAGGCTTCCACATGTCCATGTGCTACCACAAGTATGCAAAAAAAAACACGCATACCACACACATATGAAAAATGGAAACAGGAAAAAATTAAAGCTGGACAGTTTCATGCAAAAATACATATTTTAAGCAGACTTGCATCAGTGAGACTCCTTTGGCCATTATGGGCACATAGTTTCATTGGACAACAGGCTGGGGGTGGTGGTGGAAAAAGCTGGCCCCTTGAGTAGACCCATTTGTTCTCCATTGCTACTGTTTCCTTCAAACTCTGCCGGTCTCACTCACTCTCATTAGCTCCCCGGCCTGTAGATAGAACCACATGGTGGTTCCTGGGAACAAAGAGCTCAGAGGACCAGCACTGGCTCCAGCACTTACCTAAGTTACGGCATCCTTAGTGTGTGCTTAGCATCCTGTCTATGTAAACTGTACAACAGGGGGAGGCACATGATATGGTTGAGAGGATGAACTTTGAAGGAAAAGAACCTTGCTTTGGACCCATTGGCTACGTGTCACTGAGACCCCGTAGGCAAGGAGTTAGATAGGAGGTAACCAAGGAAACAGTAGCTCTCTGTTGGGAGTTGTGTCTCTTGGTTTCGGAGGGAGATGAGACATGAGGAAATTAGTCAAATTGTAACTGTACACCGGGAACTTAGCCTCCTATGGTCCTCACTGTAGTTAAACACCCTTGAAGCTGCAGTTACATTTGTCCCCGTGTATCAGAAACCCAAGGCCATAGGAAATAAAGGGACCAGCTTCCACCCTGAGTGCTTGCTTGCACTGAAGAACTTCCTTAATCACCAAACATGCTTACTAGCAAAGAGTCTGCTTCCTCACTAGCTCCAGGCTTCATATAGTATTCCCTGCATTGGGAGATTTTAGGAAAAAGATTTATATTTATGTGTATGAGTGTTTTGCCCGCATGTGTGTATGTGAACCACATGTGTGCCTGGTACCCAGGGAGGTCGGAAGAGGGTGTCAGATCCCCTATAAATGGAGTTATGGGTGGTTGAGAGTCACCACGTAGGTGCTGGAAACTACCTAGGTACTTTAGAAGAGCAGTAAGTGCTCTTCATCACAGAGCTGTTGCTCCAGCCCCACATTGTGGTTTTGGTACCCTCCTTTAAGAGGCTTTTAAGAGGCTCATGGGAAGAAAGGCCCTAAAAGGGAGATCTGGTCCACCATGATTTGAGAGGGTACTAAGGGTCACCTTACTTTTATGAATATGCTACCCACCTCATAAGTATTGATTAAAACGTCTTTAAAACTCACTGCGATAGTTGTACCTGACCTTTGGTCCACCTTGGCTTGGTCCATTCTCTTCTGAGCGCATGGTTTGCTTTACTCTGCTTAAATGAGCTTCTGCTTAAACTGTCGACACCTCACCTGACTTTTTTCCCTTTGCAAAGACAAGAACCAAGGAGAAGCTTTACCCGGTGACATCACTTGCCAAATGTGCTGGCACTTTCTAACTTTATGCCCAGTCATCCCCATCCCTGGGTATTCATAGTGTTGTATGATCCTGTCCCCCGGGTGTGAGTTGGGCCTCA